AGGTTTGATCGAGCGTTAACTCATCAAAAATAAAACAACATGCTTCAGCCAACAACACTTGCAGACTAGCCAAATGAGTCTCGTGAGTAGAAAAAGCGCGTAGCAACAAGTCAAGATTTATTGGTTTCAATTGTGCTTGTTTGAGACAGTGGCGCGAAATCTTTAAGCTATTACCAAAGCACACAAAGAAAATCTCCCAAAAAATATTGACATGTAGTGAAAAACGACTCCTTGTGGCAAACAGGCATTACCCTGTGTGAAGACACCCTCTCCTCAGGGGAAAGGGTGTCTGTAGCCAGGATAACATCTATAAGTATTTTAAAAATTCTATAATAAGAAACCCACTTTTTACTTTGTATCATTTTTTTTACCTTACAATGGAGTTACTTGAAATGTTTATGAGGACGACATGACGACGTCTTTACTGCTTATTACTCTCAATAATATTGATCATCATGATGTTGATGATGAAGTGATGATCAGATACTAATGATGGCCCACTCAGTAATTCGTAACATAGCAATCACCCTTATCAAGTTGCTACATCATACTTTTTCCAAGAAGAATTATTTGCGCTATTTTGTAATGATGCACTTCCAAAAAAATTGTGTTTTATATGCCTTGACATTTCTCTACTGATTGAAAGGAAGACTCGACACACCATTCTGAATGGCGAAAAGATTTAGGATCGAAACTAACCAATCGAAAAAAAGGACAGTTCCCGTTGAGGTCCGCACGCCCAATTCTTTGTTAAAAGAGCGGTTTCTGATTGGCTGAAATACCCTAGGTGGCCCAGGTTGAAGTCGTCACACTGTAAGATCCTCTTTCCAGAACGTTCAATTCAGCATTTTCCACATTGCTTCAAACTACATATTTGCATTCAAACGTTTGCCATCGTCTGTAGCATCTCTTTAATCAAAGACTGATATGGTCGCCGGAATTTTTTTTAGTAAACGGTGAGTCGTTCACCGCACTTTTGATTAAATAACTTTTTAATTTCCTTTCTTGATTTAAGCCGCGCCCAAAATTTCATCCTTTTCTGTATAAGCCCGTTCGAAGTCTGGCGGTCAAAAAGGGGACAGACAGGCTGCTCCCTTGGGTGCGAACTTTTGAGTCTAAAGCAATTTTTTTGACTCATTTCGCATAAATTACTGAATCAGCATAATTTTGTCATTCCGCAAGTTATGCCACAATAAATTTGTCATTCTTGTCTTTTAATCAGCCACACCATACCACGTCATATTGTGTAATTTCCGGTCATTATTTTACTTCATATATATTTCTATAAATTCGTGATATCTCAATAAACCTGATGAAGACTGGTATTGGCCAGTCGAGATATCGCAACTTAACTCTAACTGAAAAAATGACAAGGTCTTTTAATACTAGGATTGGTGTGTTCATTTATTTGGTATTCTATTCCACTTTCTGTTAGAACTCTCTATAAATCTAATTTTCGTGAAAAAACAAAATCGGTAATGATCTAGATCATGAAGATAGCTACAATGTATGCGAATGTGTAAGGGTATTTTATGAAGTTAACTTGATAATTATATACCTCTGCTTGTAATTTTAGTCTAGTTCAAATAACAAGTAACTCTGTACTTGAAAGTTAGTGTAAATACAGCAAAAACTTCCAGTGCTTCGATCGCCTTGGTCTTGTCTTTTCCCGCCCAGGTTAGTTTAATAGCTATTTACGAGGTATCTAAATTGTCAAAACTTCAGCTATCATATGTTAATAAATGAATTGTTCTTGTTGATGTCTGTTGTTGAAACTAATTGAATTTGTCAGCCTTTTCTTTTGTAGCAGTGACGCGCGCTGCTGATTTTACGTAAAATTTTGTTCCTACTTTTTGAAAGTACTATTTCATCTGCATAAAGCTCTTGTATGTGAAACTCGGAGAGGTTTGATCGAGCGTTAACTCATCAAAAATAAACAACATGCTTCAGCCAATAACACTTGCAGACTAGCCAAATGAGTCGCTCGTGAGTAGAAAAAGCGCGTAGCAACAAGTCAAGATTTATTGGTTTCAATTGTGCTTCTTTGAGACAGTGGCGCGAAATCTTTAAGCTATTACCAAAGCACACAAAGAAAATCTCCCAAAAAATATTGACATGTAGTGAAAAACGACTCCTTGTGGCAAACAGGCATTACCCTGTGTGACGACACCCCCTCCTCAGGGGAAAGGGTGTCTGTAGCCAGGATAACATGTATAAGTATTTTAAAAATTCTATAATGAGAAACCCACTTTTTTCTTTGTATCATTTTTTTTACCTTACAATGGAGTTACTTGAAATGTTTATGAGGACGACATGACGACGCCTTTACTGCTTATTACTCTCAATGATATTGATCATCTTGATGTTGATGATGAAGTGATGATCAGATACTAATGATGACCCACTCAGTAATTCGTAACATAGCAATCACCCTTATCAAGTTGCTACATCATACTTTTTCCAAGAAGAATTATTTGCGCTATTTTGTAATGATGCACTTCCAAAAAAATTGTGTTTTATATGCCTTAACATTTCTCTACTGATTGAAAGGAAGACTCGACACACCATTCTGAATGACGAAAAGATTTAGGATCGAAACTAACCAATCGAAAAATAGGACGGTTCCCGTTGAGGTCCCCACGCCCAATTCTTTGATAAAAGAGCGGTTTCTGATTGGCTGAAATACCTTAGGTGGCCCAGGTTGAAGTCGTCACCCTGTAAGATCCTCTTTCCAGAACGTTCAATTCAGCATTTTCCATATTGCTTCAAACTACATATTTGCATTCAAACGTTTGCCATCGTCTGTAGCATCTCTTTAATGAAAGACTGATATGCTCGCCGGAATTTTTTTTAGTAAACTGTAAGTCGTTCACCGCACTTTTGATTAAAAAACTTTTTAATTTCCTTTCTTGATTTAACCCACGCCCAAAATTTCATCCTTTTCTGTATAAGCCCGTTTGAAGTCTGGCGGTCAAAAAGGGGACAGACAGGCTGCTCCCTTGGGTGGGAACTTTTGAGTCTAAAGCAATATTTTGACTCATTTCGCATAAATTACTGATTCAGCATAATTTTGTCATTCCGCAAGTTATGCCACATGTCGTTCTTGTCTTTTAAGTAGCCACACCATACCAGGTCATATTGTGTAATTTCCGGTCATTATTTTACTTCATTTTTATTTCTATAAATTCGTGATATCTCAATAAACCTGATGAAGACTGGTATTGGCCAGTCGAAATATCGCAACTTAACTCTATTTCACGTTGTTTGATCAGTCCCTGTAAAAGTCTTCTTGACTGTAACGTTTTCAATTTTATCTATTTTGACTGATCACGATCTTTTTGGATCCGACGTTAAGCAAGATTGTTTGCACACGGTTTTTACCGTGGTTTTTTTTACCTTAACTAAACACTAATTCCGGAAACTCATTCCACATTTTACCCTCATAGACTAAGACGAAGAAGACCAGGACACTTGAATGTTAAAATGTTATTTGACATGGAACTTTAGAACTGAAGGTACTGAATATTTGTCCATGTAACAGAACACGCATCATTGTACGTTTCTGGGAAACTGCCCACCTTCCCCTCCCTTAAGCCAACATTAACACTTACTTCTCACTTAGGACAAAATGTTGGCTTAGGAGAGGGGTAGACGGGCAGTTTCCCAGAAACGTATAATTTGCATCGCGTTTGGCGTCTGAATCTTGAAAGAATGTTAAGTGGTATTCAAAGCTGTTCAAGTCTTTTCTGCTACTGAGATTTGACAACAGTTTCTACTTTTGAAGGCGATATGCAAAGTCAAACTGGAAACTTAAGTTCGCGTGACCCATAGTTAAAATTCAATTTATGTCGCGTGACAAACGTAATCGCCTACAACACCCAACAATGGACATTTAATAGAGACGAATAGACAGCCATGATTGATGATTACCACGGCGATGGACTGAAACGCTAAGATCGTCTCTTCAATAATGTCTGCCATTGAATACAATGATTTGCTTTTCAAAGTAAGCCAGAGACTCAACGAGCTGAATGTAGNGTCTAAAGCAATTTTTTTGACTCATTTCGCATAAATTACTGAATCAGCATAATTTTGTCATTCCGCAAGTTATGCCACAATAAATTTGTCATTCTTGTCTTTTAATCAGCCACACCATACCACGTCATATTGTGTAATTTCCGGTCATTATTTTACTTCATATATATTTCTATAAATTCGTGATATCTCAATAAACCTGATGAAGACTGGTATTGGCCAGTCGAGATATCGCAACTTAACTCTATTTCACGTTGTTTGATCAGTCCCTGTAAAAGTCTTCTTGACTGTAACGTTTTCAATTTTATCTATTTTGACTGATCACGATCTTTTTGGATCCGACATTAAGCAAGATTGTTCGTACAGGGTTTTTACCGTGGTTTTTTTTTACCTTAAATAAACACTAATTCCGGAAACTCATTCCACATTTTACTCTCATAGACTAAGACGAAGAAGACCAGGACACTTGAATTTTAAAATGTTATTTGACATGGAACTTAAGAACTGAAGGTACTGAATATTTGTCCATGTAACAGAACACGGATCATTGTACGTTTCTGGGAAACTGCCCACCTTCCCCTCCCTTAAGCCAACATTAATACTTACTTCTCAATTAGGACAAAATGTTGGCTTAGGAGAGGGGTAGACGGGCAGTTTCCCAGAAACGTATAATTTGCATCGCGTTTGGCGTCTGAATCTTAAAAGAATGTAAAGTGGTATTCAAAGCTGTTCAAGTCTTTTCTGCTACTGAGATTTGACAACGGTTTCTACTTGTGAAGGCGATATGCAAAGTCAAACTGGAAACTTAAGTTCGCGTGACCCATAGTTAAAATTCAATTTATGTCGCGTGACAAACGTAATCGCCTACAACACCCAACAATGGACATTTAATAGAGACGAATAGACAGCCATGATTGATGATTACCACGGCGATGGACTGAAACGCTAAGATCGTCTCTTCAATAATGTCTGCCATTGAATACAACGATTTGCTTTTCAAAGTAAGCCAGAGACTCAACGAGCTGAATGTAGACAGACGATTGCTCGTTATGTGCAGAGGGAAGCTGGCGCCTTGTAGCGAAGAACACCTTACAGATGTCTTACAGTTGTTTTGGGCATTAGAAGAGAAGGAATATCTAGGACCTGATAGACTGGGTGTATTGAAAGACGTCATAGGAGGTTTAGAGGAATGGTCTCTTTTAGAAAATGTCGAAAAGTTTGAGACCAAAAGAAAGGAGTATCATAGTTTGCTTGAGCAGATTATTCAGGCACTCGACGAGCTAAATGATGTGGAACAGCTCGTCTCGATTTGTAAAGGAAAGATATCAGACGAGAGGCAAGGCAACATTCGGGATGTTCGATCATTGTTTCAAGAACTGAAGAACAACAGCTGTCTGGAAATTAATCGTCTTGATATCTTGAAGGAGATTTTAATACAAACGGATAAAAGAGACCTGCTTGAGAAGGTGGAAGAGTTCGAGGAACGAAGAAATCGGGAACATAAGTCTGAAAGGCGAGCAGGTGCTTATTTAAGCCTCTTAAACCGTTATTCCTTTTTTTCATCATTAAGTAAATAAAATCTAACCTTATTATTGGGTGATGTAACCAATTTTTTTGGGCTTGTTTGCTTTCAGCACGATTAGCTGCCATTGTTTCCTCGGCTAGCGGAAATCTAACAGGAGGTAAGATGTAAGATGCAAATTAAATGTTTAGATAGGAGAAGGTAAACAGGTCGCCACGGAAAAGACTTTGGACTAATGTTGCACAATGCCGTTTGTTTTAAATTACACTTTCAGCCCGGAAATTCAAGCCCCCGGTGCTACGTATCGTAAATTTCTGCCTGTATCTTACTTATTTCACTCCAAATTGAGGAATGTAAATTGTGGTTCTGGCGAGAATTTTCTTTGACGTGCATGGCCAAGCATGGCCATGAATAAACTTGCCCTTTTGTCCTGATTTTCTATCAGCGAATGAGCCTGGATACAGACCCTTATCAATTTTGACTAAATAAAATAGTTTTCTCATAGTTCGTTTCAAATTTATTATTGAATAAATAGTTCTTATTTTTGAAATAAATGTAACTGCAATATCTAACATGAAGCATTTCGATAACCCCCCCCCCCCCCAAACAAACAAAACAAAGAAATACGAACAGACGCAAAAGAAAGACAAACCAGAAAAACTAAAAGATAGAGAAGAAGCAATAAAAGGACTGCAGAAACAAAAGATAAGAAACAGTTTTGTTTTTTGGGGGGGGGGGGGGGGGGTTTATCAAAATGATTCATGTTAGATATTGCAGTTACATTTATTTCAAAAATAAGAACTATTTATTCAATAATAAATTTGAAACGAACTATGAGAAAACTATTTTATTTAGTCAAGTTTTTTAAAAAACATGAGAACGAATCACAGACAGCACTGATTTGCTATCCCCCCCCCCCCCCCCCCGAAAAAAAAAAGCATTGATTGCTTTTGCCTGGGTCTAGTGGAGTTTTCAATTACTCTACTAATCTATTGTCTGTGATCTTGAGACAATCTTGAGCCGGATTGCTACTTCGTATGTTGCAGTTTTGACTATCAAGACCGTATTCAAGGTAGCCGCCGGGGGTATTGTTATTGCTTCCGCCTTTGAACTCCTGAGACGTGGTTCCAGTTATGATCAACTCGTCACTGCCATTTCTACTTGCGTTCTCCCTGCTGGTGCTAAACTAGTGCAGATAACTGAAGGAAGTGTTAATCTCAAAGTTCAAGCAGAGCACATTTCAGCTCTGGACACTTTGTGGAGTTTGTACAAAGATGGGACGCTTAAGGAAGGTCTGGAAGACTTATTTATCACCGATGAGGTAACAGAAATTGCCGGTGGAGAGCAAGTGGAATTGATTGTGACCATCGATGAACAAGAATACAATAAGGCCCGAAAAGAGTTAAGCATGGAAGCACAAAGAGGTGATTAAAGACCTTTTATCAGTTCAATTTACTCTCAAATACTTTCTGCTAGCGGCAAGTACTCAGGATTTAGGACATGAAGGTCTTAATGAAAGATGGGGGAGGGTCCATATGCCGTTTGTACATTCAAATTCTCGGTCTTTGTTTGTTATCGATAAAATGCAAATTAACTATTTCAAGAGAGAATTATTCTCTCTTGATTATTTTCATTCTTTATTTACGTCACTTACACAGTTTAAACTCTATACAAAGTGTATAACTTGAAATAATTCATTATTTAGGACTTTATCACTGACTGGAATAGTCTGCCATCTGACTAGTCAACAACAGATTCAACTGCAGCTTTTAAGGCCACCGTCTCAGACTACATAATGCTTGTCCCTTCCTATTTATTGTATTTCTATTTTTATTATTAGTAGTAGCACTTTAGTTTATTTATAGTTAAGGAGCTTGTGACTATATCTATAAAAGACTTTGCAAGGTAAAATATGTAAAATAATGTAACATGTTAATTTTTACCGAAAACTACCGCTTACAAACCCTGGCTTCTACATCTTCGTAAGGGGTTTTAGGGCTTAAAAAAAAAAGGGTGCCAACTTTCCTCACTTGCAGCCAGTGGCTGAATTGCGGAGGAATTAGAGAAGTGACATCGGACGTCAGCATGTAAAGGCTTACTCTTGCAGCCACTTCAGTCCATGTTTTGATCACACCTCGCCCACCCAGACCGATTGCGGCACAAGTCAGACAGACCATGATAACATCGGGGCCTACGTCCCGTTCTCTTTTCAGACAATGCCACGAGTTCTTTACGTCCCCTTCCAACTGAAGTACAAGGATGAAGAAGACAAGGCCAATGGCTTAACGTCACCGCCTAATGACCTTGGTTTGATGGTATGGCCGGGGTTTGAAGTCACGACCTCCCGCTCAGAAGATCGGCGCTCTTGCAACTGAGCTAACCGGGTGGCGGTTAAATCCGACTGGGCTTATGACCGCAAAAAAAGCGCTTCGAAACAAGCTATTAATAGCAGTGCCGATCAAAATCTTTTAGCATTAATTGGTGTTAATTAAACTTGAAAACTTTATAAGACGAATTCATTTTAATGCATTTGGAGGGGGCTTTGATCCGGGGGGCTCTTATTCAGATTTATACTTTTTTTTGTTTACCGGTAGATGGACCTACGGCTGAGGCGGAGGGGGGATCGCATGTGGGGCCTACTTCTCCATTTTTGATTTGATTTTCCTCTACTTTCGACTGAGTTTCCGTTTAATTTGCACTAAGATGAATTTTATTGTATGAAGGTCCTGTTGATGAGAGAGAGGAGTGGCAGGAGAAACTCGCTTACATTCAGAGTTATTTAGAGCAATCCAAGGACAGTGATTCCTACAGCGTCACAACGGAAACAAGCGACAGTGGAATGGCGGAATCACGCGTTGCACCATCTGAGCTTGGAATGGAAGAAACCAGCGGTAAGATACTCCTTATATGAATAAACTTTTCGGTCAATTTATCTTGGACAATCGGAACAACGAATTTTTTCAGTTTTATATTTTTATCAGAAACCTGGTTCCTTTTCAAGCGTCTGTTAAAAAAACAAAACACCCGTGAGGCAAGTCATTTAACCATCATAATCCCCACTATACAGACTCTTAGTTACTTGTTTGCAGTTAGTTTTGACAGTTGATAGGATCGACAAAGTTTCTTCTTGCATTTTTCAGCTCTTTTGTTCACTTTCCTAGATTCCATTTTCAATCTTTGTTTGAAAGATGTGAGTAAAGCAGTGACATCTGAACTGACATGCAGACTTGGAACTGACCCTTTTGCTCTACAGCGATTTTATCAATCATTTGGGCTTGATCCTGTGAAATTGCTTCCCGAAAGCCTTGAAGAATTCTTCCCCGACACCCCAATCAAGCTGTTAAGAGACGTGTTTGATGAGCTGCAGTTATATGACCTTGTAGAGTTGCTGGACAAAGTAAAACCACGCACACTTCGTCCTGTCTTCCCCCTTAAAGAGATCAGAAAGGCTCTAAATGCCGCAAATCGCCCAACAAAGTTTTACAGCAAAGCAGAGGTTTTCATTATAAAGTTCTCTGAAAGTGTTGCTGCAGATTACAATGTGTTGAGTTTTACATCGTTTCTTAAAGCCTTAAATTCAAAGAGTAACATAACTACAGTTACCTCAAGGAATTTGGCTAAAACGTTAAGAACCTTCAAGGAAACAAAGAAGATGGTCGAAGAGGAAGACAGGAAAGCAAACACGAAAGAAACGAAGTTAAAGGAACTTTTAGACAAAAGGGTGCCATTTAGCTGGTATAAGCACAAAAGCCCACGGCTGACGTTGTCCGTCGGCCGCAACAGCAATGAGCACCTATTGAAAGCGTTCTACAAAGAGGAGCAGGAAATGAGAAAAGAACTAGAAAATGTGATAAAACAGAGAGAGCAGTGGACGAAAGAGATAAAACCTAAAATCGAGAAGGAGATAAAACAAAAGGAGGAGGAACTACAAAGAGAGAATGAGAAATTCCAAATGGCTGTTTGCGACGTCATGGACAAATGGATGTGCCAAGCGAGCGATGAAGGTTTGTTTAGCAGTAAGAAAGTGTTTGGCTCTATGCATGTTTTTTAGAAGTGACTCCTTGTCTGGTTCTTTGCTGTTTTCCGGGAAGAGCATGCGCCCGAAACTCCCTAGTCCTGATGGGCACTATCGCGCCAATATTGCCACTGTATACTATTAATATCTCTAGGCACCCTCTATCACAAAATCCTCCGTCCGCCCCTGACAATCACCTTTCGCCTGAAGGACGCTCTACTTTTATGAACAACCCGATAGTACGGATAGCAGCTAAATTCCAATACATTATTACGGACTCTCGCTGTTATGAACACTGGCTGCCTGCTGTCACATCTACGACGTAACTAAAGTTTAACTTAAGTCAGTGTCAAGTTAGGTGATGTCATACCTAACTGTAGTTAGTGCTTTCGGTCGACATTGCGGTCACACCACGCAGTTAACAACAGTTAGTTCTAATTAGCCTAGTAAATTTTTTGTTTGTTGGTTTTGGTTTCCCCCTCGCTTCACGCTTGGTTTTTATTTTGCATATTTATATATACTCATCTCGCACGTGCGAAAAGAAGTGTCACATTCTGATTGGTTGTTTGTTTGCAAAATTAAGACTAACCCACCAACCCTGCTTGGGTATAACTATAGTTAGTCTGTATTGTTTTGGATCACCGAGGCGTAAATTTTCTAACTATAGTTAGAGCGAACAGAGAAGCGGTCCGACATTACCGAAATAGCTAACAATAGTTATCCCCGTCTTAACTATAGTTAGTAGTCCAGATGTGACCGCAGCCACTATCTCATGGTCTCGAGGTCGTCCGCATAGAAAGTCAGAGTTGTACATGTACTTCCATACAAAGATCTTGAAACCGGAAGGCCGCAGTTGACTTTCCTCTGCCCCCACTTGAGAAATTGGTGCTGAAAACAGTTCTTAAACATACCTAGAGCGCGTTTGTTTCTCTGGGGTCTAGTTTTTCAGTAAAGTGACTTCAAATTAACCAATCTTACAAAAATGTAAGAAAAATGGACCGTTTTAACATTCTTCTACCTACATATTTTTCCTCCTTAAGATATGTGTAGCCATTACGTCAGACGATGATAACTGTCGTAGCCTGTTCCATGCTCCAAGATAGTAATGTAGGGTCAATTTTAATAAAGAGTTCTTCCAGTTGAAGAATTTTCAAGTCGCCATGAACACTTTAATGGATCATGGACAACAACAAATCACAGCGCGCGTAGCGTTCTATTTCCACTATCGTCGCCTACCATTGAAATATTACTGTACTTACTTAGGAGGTGAAAAACAACAATTCTTAATCTCACAATCCTGCTCTTGAATTTGTTTCACGCAAAGAAAGCATTTCAGGCTTCCAGAAATTTGGCACCTACAGCACAGCGAATTTGTTGCCATCATCGATTATGGTTGAATAGCTTAAGTTACTAACACTAATACTCGTGTCCTCATTAAGGCTGTCTATCAGCGCACTCGAAAACTTTAACCTGGTCCATTTCATTTCTTTGTAGGTGAGGAATCAACCTTGTATGTCGTGCTTTTTATGGAGAATTTAACTATCAGATATGATGAAGTTAGAGAATTGCTGAAGAGGACACGAAGGTGTTTGAGAGAAAAATTCGCATCTATTCCAAACACGAAGCTAGTAATCAGTTCCAATACCTGGTCAAGTTGGGGCGATGGAAATATTCCCCAGGAAACTCTTGAAGTACGCCTTAGTGAGAGTGAAAGAGACTTAATCCTGGGTTTGATTGTGGAACTACTTGAGAATCGCTGGCAGACATTAGACTTAATTTCGGTGTTCCGAGAAGTACAAAGGACTGTATCTATCAAGAAGACTCCCCAGCATCAACATTTTAACGGAGGGTTTTTCGGGTCTGATAGTCGCACATATTTTGATATTTTTGAAAATTTGTCTTGTCTTCCAAAACTTCAGAAGACGGAACAGGTCTCGAAGAATTAACTATCAAGCACCCCACCAGCTCACCCCCACCCCCTCCCCGCCTTTAGCTCCTTCGTCGTCCATCTCTTCTCTATGATATAGCAAAGGACTCATACTAAACCATGACGTCACCAGCTCCATGCAATAAACTGAATATAAAAAGCAGCAACATAGCTCTCTCCTTGTCTTATTTTAGAGTTTAAGGCAAACAAGGAGGGAGCGCAGCTAGTAACAGAAGCTATTTGGAGTGACGTATGCGCACAACAAGTTTATTTAATTCAAATAGATTTTAGTCTGTCCGCGAAAGCAACAAGCTCTCAACGAACACTGACAATTCCCTGTTTTTATGTGTTGAAAACTTTCTAACGGGGATGTAAGTTCAGTTAGTTCTCAAGGGGTCCACAGAGATCAAGGAGGTCACTCACCTCCAAGGTGACTACATAGTAGTTAATTTACTACAGCTTTTTGGCAATAGTAAATTCATGTTACCAAGTTGTTCTCAAATTTGTTTCCTATTTTAAAAAGACTGGAGACAAAAAAAAACCGATGGCCGGGTTTACATCTGTTCTTCTTAAAAATTTTACTTTATAACTCATGCACAGCGCATATCTATGTTTTTACTTTTTCCAAAACTACTATCTGTAAACATCTAGTTAAAATTATCCGTGCGACCATAGAAGATATGGAGTAGTTTCTCTGTGGTATTGTAAATTGTGCTGTACGAGTAATCTAGTTAGCTGAAAGTAGATATCATTCGTTAATTTTAGGGACCATGGAACTGAGCATAATTACAGGTACCGATTCGTATTTTCTGTAATTATGAATTTGTTTTAATTTTTAATGCTTTGTAAATAAAATCTGAGAATTTTTCAAGTTTTTTTTTTCTTTTTTTGTTGAGGTTTCGACCTTGTTCCTCTGGCTGAATGAGTTTATTTCGCATCACTGGTAAAGAACGACATGTAAAAATTGGGAACAGATCATTCATGACGATATTTCTTGACCATATCTTAAACCTTGAATTTACGTCAAATTAAGGAGGAGAATACCTGCAAGCGTTAAAAAATAAAACTTCAAAAGATGTTGCTTTTAAGTACAAGAAAAAAAATCACCTTGTGTGAAGCGGGAAAAGGTATATCGGGTTCTAAGGGCGGGAAGATTTGAATGCGTGGGAAAATGCACCTGACTCAACTTTAGTTTTTAATCAAAATGGCTATTTGCCCGTAAGTTAACATTTCGATATGGCAAACACTGCAAACTAACGCTAATTTACAGTAACAGTAATATTGGAAAGTTTTGTGCCCACCGAAGCAAAAGATAAGGACTCAGATAGGGAGGCTAGTTGTTACAAGCCCCGCAGACCTGCATGTGTTAAGCCAAGGCGCAAAGCACGAAGTTAGGGGGAGACAAATGCTTAAATTAAAGACAACCAGCAAATATCCTTAATTCAACATACACATCAGCGTATAGCTAGTCACCCTAGAGTGTTGCAGTGTGGATGAAAATACTTGTCACGTGATTTTTTTCAAGCGTAAACCCCAGTCCGAGGCCACTACTAACCCTAACTGTTGAACTACTAACTCACTGGGAGGTCAAAGCACCAATACTTATTTTTCAATCCCAAGAAAGCCCCTTGGTTACAGTCTAGCTGGGCCTAACATTTTCTGGGAGTGTCAAATATTAGGTCACGTGATGCAAATCGTTTCCATAATATATCAGAGATAAGCAAAATTACGCGCAACTTCAAGGCAACTAGGGTGGCATTTCCAAATGACCTCTTTTTTTTCTTCTCTATGAATTATCCGTTATGAGTTGAGGAATACCTTCTCTACGGTTATAGGAGCCTGTATGGAGGCACTCAAGACGACGAAAGTAGTGAGAAAACGACGAAGCCCGACCATCGCACCATTTTCTTTCACACCTAGTCTGCCTATCATGTCCTGTCGAGCTCTCATAATGGGCAACTAGAACCAACGGCGACTAGAAATCACGCCTTGAGTTGAAGTAACTAATGTATTTTCCCCACTTCTTAAAGTACGTTTAAAAGAACCTAAAGAACACGATGAAAGAAGTTGCAAGGTGAAAACAGGAGAATACTTTCAAAATACAGTGCATGGCTAAAGGCAACTTCAAAACACTCAAGTCATTTTCTAGTCTGCACCTACGACATATATTAGGGACCTTACGATTCGACAACTGCGACGTCCATGAAAACGTCACTGAAAAATAGACTCCGCATCCTTTCAAACAGTTTCGCGATTTTCCCCAGTCGCCCTCCTACTTAAAAGAAGGGAATTTAGGTTGGAACTGAAGAGCGAGGGCCTTGCCGTTCCCGTCCTCAAAAAAACTTAAAATTTGGTCGTTCACGTCGTAGTTGTGCGGGGACGGAAAAGAGATGTACAAAAAAGCGTGATGCACGTGCAGAATTGTTGTTTTGCCAACTAAACTCATTGCTTTTTGACGCTGCTGTTGTCGTTACCTTCGTAGTTTCGTAAGGTCCCTATTGATAGTGGTCTGCCGCACCATCCTGTGGCTTACTACCCTACGTCCACCAATGGGCCACCAACAGGACACCTTAAAGAATGACCAGTTATCTTTTGACAAACGCGGGCTGGCAAAATCGCACAAAAGCTGACCAAGATGATTGAAGTCATTGAATAATGTAGGCTTTATGAATAATATCACGGTATAATTCATGGTTGTAGTCCAGCGTGTCCGTTAAAATAATTACAATTAAAAGTAAAAAGGAGACAAGACCGAATGTTTGTACCTGAATGTGGACCTGATATGGATGCGGTAGAGCCCGCCTCTCGCGATCGATCGAGTGATGAATAAAATAACAACGGTGTCTTTCTCGCGAAAGCTGTGTCCCACATTCTGACTGAAATCAAACTTCATCAGCAACTCGTCCACAGGAAACTGGGCATGATCTCCAAACAGCTTGAGCCAGACGACCAGGACGTTTGTCTCAGCGAGGAGGTGTACATGTGCGCGCTCAACCTGAACGGCGGTCGACTTTGCAATGAGAGTTCGTTACCAAGACGCGACATGGTACGGCCTCAAAACCAGAGAGATGTTTTGACGTTCACTTTAGAGAGGCGTTGTCAGCTGGAGAGCATGCGAGCTGAGGTTATGCAAATTACTTTCAACTGTTAAAACTCTATTGTTTTTAACACGTGACTTTCTCTGTCTCGTCCAAGGCTCCGAAATTTACAAAGACGTTAAAATGACAAGCGAATTGGGTTTGGATAAGAGATATTTTCATAGAATTTACGGGACGTTTCCTTTCTGGTTATGCCACATCAAGTTCCCTCAATTTTTTCGTAAAAAACAACTTTGCTTGCCGAATTGTCAGCAGTGCGAAATAATATGATCATGTAACACCCCTCTTAAAAAGCCTGTCTTGGTTTCCTGTTAAGGACCAACTGTACTATCGCCAAGCGATTATGGCCTTCAAATGCATGACCGGTCACGCCTGAATATCTTACACCTGAATATCTTACATCCCAATTTATTACCCGTGAACAAGTTAGCGAACGAACAACTCGGAGTAGCCAAAAGCTAAACATCCCTCTTTTCAGAACTGCCTCCGGACAGAGAATCTTTTATTACAGGGCCGTCAAGCTTTAGAACAATTTGGAATCTTTTCTTAAGTTACGCGGCCCATCTGTTAAAATTTTTAAACTTTCTTTGAGGAGCCAGCTTTTAGATTTTTTAAATACTTCTTCGTTAAGTTTAAGTTCAAAGTGTTAAGACAATTATACTTGTAGTTTTGAAGTGAAAACGCGTGTCATTCATAAAAATAGAGCGCAAACAAAAATTCAACGACAACATATTGTCGTAGTCAACAAAATATATCAATGCGATTTCCAGGGCCGGACCAATGCTCTTCTCAAGGTCCTTAAATCACTGAGAAATGAAGGTCTCGCCTGCCCTGCAAATAGTCACACCTTAGTGTGGCTTTGATGACTTCGTAAAATGGCCGTCCCGTCGCCATAAGCGTCAGGAGCCGAAGTTAAATTTACTGCCGTTAAGGTGTACTTTCGTGCTAAATACACTGATACTCAAAGAAAGTGCTCTTTTTTTGTTTGTTTTCGTTTTAGGAGCCTACGGGCCTTTATGAACCTCGTTTCCAGGATGAACGAGGTAGAAAGACTGGAAACGAATTTGAAGTTCGCGTGACTTAAACGCTTCATTGTAATACAAACGAACATAAAATCCACCCTTTCGTGATTTCCTACGTGGTTGGGTTGGCTTACACAGTAACTCCTTTTGATGGCAGTAAATGTTAACTAAGAAGCAGAGAACTGAACTAAACCCGTCATCACGATGCCAGAGATTGAATACAACAACTTACTCTACCAGATAAGCAAGAGACTTGACGAGCTGAATGTTGGCGAACAGTTACTGTTTTTGTGCAGAGGAAAGGTGACGGCTCGAAGCGAAGAGAACATTCAAGCCCGCTCGTTGTTTGAAGAATTAGAAGAGAAAGGATTTCTGAGTCCCGATCATCTAGTCTTATTAAAAGGCATGTTGAAAGGAGTCAACGAATGGGATCTTTTTGAGGAAGTTGAAAAGTTTGAGACAAAGAGGAAAGAATACAACAACTTGCTTGAGCAAATCATTCGAGTGCTCGACGAGCTCAATCATCTGGAACGACTAGTCTCAATTTGTGGAGGAAAGATAGCGGAAGAAAGGCAAGGCAATGTTCTTAATGTCCGATCATTGTTTGAGGAGCTAGAAGAAAACGACTGGCTGGGAATTGACTGCCTCGACACTCTGAAGGAAATTTTGACCCAGACAGAGAAAAGTGATCTGTTAAAGGAAGTAGAAGAATTCGAGCAACGACGAAGTCGTGAAAACAAGTTTAGAAAACGCAAAGGTAATTCTACATGTCTGCGGCTCATATTTCTAGCCGTGCTTAGTCCCAGAATTGATTAGAACATTTGTTTTACTTAACTCTTTTTTATTTCAGCACAAGCAGCTTCTTTTGTGTCATCAGTTAGCGACAAACTGTCTGGAGGTAAGTTTATTTTCGTACTTGTATATGTGCTTGTAAGAAGGCCCGGTTCAGACGCCGAGCTTTTCATGAGCCGAACCTAAAACATTGAATTACGCACATGGAAAGTTCGGCGTCTGAATCAATTAGGAAGGCCTGTTTCAATTTGGAACGGTTCAGCCGTTTTTTTCGCCTAGCCCGGTCGGGAATTTCGCCTTTGGAGCGTCTTTGGAACGGCTTTGCTTCAGACGCCGAACTTATCATGTACCGAACCTAATGCATAAATTATTATAACGTATTTTGTAAGCAGTTTGTCCCAAATAAGCATTTTCCGCCTTTTGAACTTAGTTCAGCTTCAATTAACATCGGCGTCGGAATCAATTCAGCCGATCTTAATAATTTGGGTCGGCCTTAATTCGAATTAGGTTCGGCTCATGAAAAGTTCGGCGTTTACTCATATTCATGTTCGACTTATAATTTAACGTTCGAGTCACGAGAAAATCTAAAGTACACACTTTAGCCAAGAATTGATTTTGATTATTTTCTTTAATTCCCTTATTATACTTTTATCCACACTTACATTCTGAGAGCTGTGCCAGTGGCAGAATTATGGACGACGGACCGCCGGGTTCTTGCGTTTCAAACTAACTATCTTTAAAACAAGCATCAAGGCAAATAAAATAGTTTAACTGACTCGGCCTCTGATTAACAAGACAGAATGAAACGGGGAAAGATATCTACGGGAATAGCTTTAAGTTTGCATTAAGGAAATAGAAATCCCCTACCCAATAACCTCGCAACAGTATGTTGACACTTTGACGCTCGATAGGGAAATACATCTTACCACCTGCTTTGGTTGAATTTGGAGGTTGACTACGGAAAAATAATTTTACGGAGCTATTTTACGGAGCTAACACTATTCTGTTCATAGTCGACCATAGAAATCATTAGTCAGGAGGGTGTGAAGTCTTGCAAGCAATGAAGTGCATCGTATCTTAAAGCAGCCTAATTAGTTAAGGTATCATCCACCCTCGAGCACCCTCCCCGCTTGATCGGCGCTAGCGCTTTTGCTTTTAACAAATACCCCCATAAACCGTACATTTTCTGAAAGCTTAATAGTTCCAGATTATTGCTTATTCCTTTTAAAAATTCAAAATATCAACACGATTTAGAAATGAGAAGCTTTTTGTGAAAGTGGGTGTCACTGTAAATTTAAGTCCAGGCCAGCCAAAAATAAACGGAAGAAGCTAATCAAGATCGCATTTGCTTCTTAACACATTTGACTAAAAAATTGTCTCAGATTTTTGTCAAGTGCGTTTGTTCTTTTGTTATAAGCAGTTGAAGTTAGGGATAGCAAATCATTATCACTACCTGTGAAAAAACTACTCTAACTTGAAAACGAAAAAAGACATCAAAATTCGCCGTCACGGTTTTTTAGAAAAACTATCCGACAGTAAGTTGGCCAAATTTCAGCCAAAGTGGTTCGCGGGTTGCCGACTTGGAGTTTAAAACGTACCCTCAACTTGTCCTGATTTTCATTTCGAGAAAACAGTGGAAAAAGAGTTTTGGCGGCGATAATGGGCACTGCTCTAATATTGTCTAATATTGTGGTTTCGACAGTTACAACTACGTATGGTCTCTTCCCTGTTGTTATCACTGTGTCGTCCTTTTCCAATTTTTGCTTTGGGCTGTTGTTAAAATTTCAAAGGCTCTGCTCTGTTCGATCCTTTCTGTTGTCTAGAAAGCTCATTAGTTATTTGCGACGGGCAGTTTTCATTTTCGCACCGGGCAAGCCAAGTTGAGCCAAGCCCACTTTTACTCGATACATTTTCTAAAAGGTCGACACTTCCCTGGAAAAATTGACAACAAACCGCTTCCTGGAGTTTTTCTTGAAGCTTCAAAACAGTCCTTCGTCCGAATTTATATGGCGCGGGACCTCTCGCGACTTCGTCGCCCGCCTGACCGCTTCGCGGCCAAAAAAGCTTGACCCGCTTGCTAAGAAACTCGTTCAACTCGATTCTGCGGTGGTTTCAATGGTTTTTCACGAGCTTTGTTATCTTTTAGCCATTTTTCTTGATTGTAGTAGTAGCCCTTTTCGCTCTCTGCTAATTTCGAAGCCCACTCTTTGCAAAACGATTTTGTCGTCTTCTTTCGTCTTGGAGTCGTGTACGAAAACGGACAAGCTTTTCTTTCTTCTTTGGAGGCATTCACTTCCAAAATCCAGGGAAAAACAGTGAGTACTAGATTGTAGACCACGATTTCTGTCAAATTGCGTGATTAGCGTGGTTGAACAGCGGCATGCGTATCAAGTATAACAGGACTAAAAATTAAAATAATTAGCGTAGAAAAAACTTTTGCGCTCCATAATTCTGCACAGAAAAAACATTTTTTCCTGGAATTTTTGTTAAAAGAAAGCTCTTGATTAGCTCTATTTAATCATTTAAAAATTGCAAATTTCGAAAAATTATGATTTTTTACCCTGGATGATACCTTAAACGATTATTCTTAGTTAGCAACCACATGACCAGGCGGAAAATTTTGTCCCAGAACATGCAAGAAGAAGTCTACACAAGACAAGGTTTCAAAACCAAGGATAAAAAAGTTATTAGCGTACACAAGTTTTCGATGTCATTACGAAATTTTTATCAAGCGATAAAATTGGACGTTTAGTAACATGGTTTATGAATCACATGACAAAACGTCAAAGAAATAGTTGAAATGTCCCCATCGTGAAAAATGTATTTTGTTCTTAGGCCTAAGAAAAATGTCAAGCTTTTCGCGAGACGAACCAAACTTAGTGAGCTAAGTTCAAGTTCGCCTGCTGGATCGTCGAACACGTTCTATCCGTCTGCTTCAGACGGATAGACGGATAGAACGTCTGAAGATCGTCTCCAGGACAAACGACGATCTTCACATGCGACGAACTAAACTAAAAAATTAAAAAATTCGTAATGTAATACTTGGCCTCGTTCGGGAGAAAATTTGGATCATTATACGTTTCTGGGAAACTAAGCCAACATTTTGCCATAAGTGAGAAGTTAGTGCTAATGTTGCCTTAGGGTCGGGTTTCCCAAAAACGTCTTGTGATCCGAAATTTTTTTTAAAACTGCTTTCTGGTCTGATGAAGTTGATTGGTTCGACTTTTAAATATTTATGGAGGAATTTACTATTGGGCGGGGACAATAATTGCACTGCATATAAAGGGTAATTAGAAAATGACGAATTTCAAAAGACCACCTCTTCTTTTCATGAATACTGCCCATATTACTGAGGTCAAACTTTGGGCAGACATTCTGTCAGAAACGTCACCGAAGTACCAGAAATTAGAGGGTATTACCCGATATTCTAATATCTGCGAGGGATCACTTAATGTAGCGCACGAAGCAGGCGCTCAGCAGGGAAAGAGGGACATCGAGCGCGCAAGAACTCAAACGCCTTCTACCTTTTCGTTTTTCGTGCGCTTGATTTTTGGCTCTTCTCTTTCTCTTTCTCATGATGCCTACCCTTCGTGATCGCCTTTTCTCTCTCCCAAAGTATCTCTTAATTTTGAGGAAGCCAACGTGATAATAATTCTGTTGTTTGTATTTTAGTCCTGAACATTAAGACTGTGTTCAAAGTCGTGGGCGGCATTACAATAGCTTCCACCCTATCACTGTTGACACATGAGTGTACTTATGATCAGCTTACGAACGCCATAAACACCTGTGTGCTTCCTGCTGGGGCCAATCTGATTCAAATTTCAGAGGGATGTGTGTGTCTCAAAGTTCAAGTTAAGAATCTTTCCGCTCTCGAGGATTTGTGGCGTTTGTACAAAGTTGGTACACTAAGAGCAAGTCTGCAAGCTTTATTCGTTACTGACGAAGTGCGAGAACTTGCTGGTGGAGGGCAAGTGGAAGTGGATGTGACCATCGACGAAGAAGAATACGAGAAGGCTCGGAACGAGCTATCAACTTTCAGAGAACAAGGTTATAAAAGCACACTAAAATTTATACAGCAAACATAGTTACGTAATGTTATTTGATTTTACTGCTACCTTGTAGCACTAGCCATTCAAAAGTTCTGCTAAATACCGTATTTATTCCATTAAACGCCGCAGATGGAAGCAAAATTATCAATAAACGCCGCCGTCGAATAAAAGCCGCACCTAATTAAAAGAATGCGGCGTCTATTCGAGGATTGGTAATCTACACCATCCAGACAACTACGATTCTATCTCAGAAAAATAAGGAGACATTGGAACCTTTAAAGTGCATAATATTTAAAAAAAAAAAAGATTTAAAGTAACTGTTGTCAATGATTTAAGAAAAGTGATTTTGAAACAAACGCCTCCCTTATATAAACGCCGCATCGGACACGTTGAAAATTTAATATACGCCGCTGCGTTTAATCGAAAAAATACGGTAGGCCCTTCAAAATCGCGGATTCTTGGGAGCATGGGACGCACTGGAACTGAAAAAGTTAAGTGCTCTCATCATTTAAAATGGTAATTTCTTTTGTTTGGCCTCTCTCGGTGCGTCTCTTGCTCTACAGCACGGCGGTTTTGTACCACGAGAATGACTAGAAAAGTCCTCCGAGCTCGGCAGTTTGCCAACCCAATATGGCGGTGTTTCACCTGACAATGTTTGAAGTCAGCGCTACTTTGGGAAGGAACCCACAGGTCCCTGCTTTGGGCTAAATCGTCCTAACCTTTAAAGCGAACCCTAAGCCTTAAAAACTTTTCATTTGCATTCTCACTTTTATGATAATTATTAGCCCTTTAATTTTACGATCATTGTCATTGACATCTGTATTTTTTTATACCACAGTTTTGAGTTCAGATGAACCTGATGGTCAGGAAGAGAGGAAACTTAAATACCTAGATCAAGAAAAACTGTCCTACATTACGAATTACTTAGAGCAAACCAGGGATACAGATGTACATAGTCTATCTACAGAGGATGACAGTGGAAAGGCGGCATCAAATAGTGCACCATCGGAATTTGGATTTGAAGAAACCAGCGGTATGACTCAGTCAATTCCAAGAGTACCCAACCCAAGTCCCTTTAGCATTTGTCAACTTCCGCAATCCCAGGGCGGTGGGCATTTGTCATCAATGGTCTTCCCAGGGATATTACATCGGGATCAGTTCATGGCTTATTTAAGCGGGAAAAACGCAGGCGAAGAGGAAAAACCGAGCTCATGCTTAAAGAGAGTGCGCGAAATCTGTAGAATGACACGCTAAAAACCCGGATTAGGCCTTAGCCTTGAAGTTCCTTTTTAGTCAACGAAATATTATAGCGGAGCTCTCGCGCGCGAAGCGCGCANATCGATAGCAATTTTAATAATATGCTATTTATTTTAAGTCAACATTTGTTAATTTCAGATTTTGTTTTCGCCTAGTATTTGCAGATTCCACCTCTAAGCTGTGCTTGAAAGATCTAAGTATGGAATTGACTGAGGAACTAACGTCCAAGCTTTTAAGCTTCGTTAGTTCCTCAGTCAATTAAAAACACACGCACTCAGTCGATTCAAAACAAAACTCACCATTTTATCGCTGAAAATCAGATAACGCAAAATCCTCCGCGAATTGGCGTATAGATTTATATTAATTTCTTTACTTCACTTTCTTTGCTGTCTTTGGCTTTACTTTATTAATTTTCTTTTATTCAGAAGTTTTTATTCGCCTGCAGCGACACAGTTCTTCAGTTTATTTTCCTAAATTGCCTGTGAAAACGACCGCCGCCGGTTCAAAGAAGGAAAGAGCTTTCCATACCATACCATACCATACCATACCAAACCATACCATACTATACTCACTCACTCACTCAGTCACGCAAACTCTTCATGTGCATCCAGGCTGATTAGGCGGCATAATGTTAGGGAATTGTTGCAGAAGGCAGTACCCGCCTGTAGGTTACCTGAAATCTTTATTACTGCCTGCACTGTAACGTACATTACAGCTCCCCTTCTATCCGGGCGGCTATATATTTCAAGACAAAGCACCAGCTTTTCAACTTTTTGCTTCATCAGCGAGCCAGGAATCATGACTGTGTATATTCTGCACGTAATAAATTATTCTTATTTTTGTTGGTTTCCAGACTGGGAAATATTATTGGATACATTTTTAACCTTTCAGTCCTTTCTCCTAGATTTCACTTCCAGCCTTTGCTTAAAAGATCTGAGTAAAGCAGTGACCGAAGAACTAACGGGCAGACTAAATGGCGACCCAACTGTATTTCAGCAATTTCTTCAATTATTTGGCCTTGATCCGGCAAAGAATTTAGACCCTGAAAAGCTTTGCGAATTTTTTCCCCACACTCCAGTCAGGCTATTACGAGACGTTTTTAAGGAGTTGGAGTTATTTGACCTTGTGGACTTATTGGATAAAGTAAAATGGCGTACACTTCGTCCTCTTCCCCTGAAAGAAATGAGAAAGTTGCTAATTACCAATAAACGTCCAACAAAATTTTATAGCAAGGCAGAGGTTCTGATTATCGAGTGTTCTCACGGTGTTGCTGTAGACGATACTGATGTTGAAAGAATTGGATCTTTCTTTAAAGACCTGAATTCACAGAGCCAAGTAACTAAAGTTACAGCGAAAGTTCCAGAAGAACTCTCCCATGAAGCTTTAAACCTGTCGAGGTTACAAAAGACGATGGAGGGTGACAAAGATCAGAGAGCAAAGGAAAAGGAAACGATGTTGAAAGAGCTTCTGGAAAAAAAGTTACCACAAAGTTGGTACAGAAGAAAACGAAAAATGCCACCTGCTATAAATACGGACAAGCAACTGTTGAGCACGTTTTACAAAGAGGAACCAGCGATGAAAAAAAGTCTAGAAGAGTTGACAAAGGAAAGAGAAAAGAGAAAACTAAAAATAGAATTAATTGACGAGGAGATTAAGCAGCAGAGAAAACTGCAAGGAGAACTACAGGCAGAGAAAGAGAAATTGCAAATGGCTGTTTCAACTGTTATGGACAAATGGATTGACCAGGTGCACGATGAAGGTGAGTTTATCAATAACGACAAAGAGGGGAAGAATTTTCGTGGTTATGCGTATTTTCGCGATTCTTTGTTCCCTGGTTTATAGACTGTGTGCGTGACAAATGCAGGTTATAACTAATTGGTTGTCTGTAGGAAGGGAAAGGAGTGAATAAAGCCACTGACAAAAGTCATAAGAAATAATTGAGCACAAAAACTCATTAATAATTCACAAAGACAAAACAAAAGAAACTAATGTTTAATGAGTGTCTTAACACCTGATTAAGAGACGGCACACGGCTGAACTTTACGTCCAGTTTTTTAGACCAAGCCTAAATATTAGTGCAAGGATGAGTTGATCTATATCAAATATTTTGAAACCTTTCAAAGACTCCCGTTGTGTATAATCAGGTTTAAACCGAGAACCCTCGCCTTTGCCTGGAGTTTTTAAACCTGATAATACACTCCTGCTCATTTTTTAAACAGTACATGAAACGCTCCAATGTAATAAAAATTGACCGCAACTGTAATAAAACCTTCTGGCAAAATATTTCTAAAATCAGTTAATTGCCCCATTTACTGTATCGTGAAAAATGCTTGATTTTAGTGTATTGATATTTGACACTAGTCTTGTTTTGAAGTTACGATTATTCTGAAAAGTATGGTTTTAAAATGATTAATTGAATCAATATCTCTTAAACAAACTTCAAGTTTTATTCTCCTTAGTGTTCATTAGTCATTTTTAATACCACACTCTTCACTCCGAAGACTGAAAGTTCGCCACAACAACTGAGACAGTCGGTTAAATAACTGAGCTTCACGGACTTTTATGACATTTACGGCCATATACGGTTAAATAAATAACATGAACAATGATAATCAGCGTTCTAAATGTTTTAAAAAAATAAAATTATTAAGGGATGCATTGTTGCTTGAAAATACGGCGCTGTTCCGATCAAATCGGTAGAATACTGCATTAATTCGAGAGGCGCGGCGGTGATTATCTTGTCATGACGACACCTATTTGAGGGCTTCTTTACATTTGTGGTCAATTCGTATTTCATTTGATCAAAGTTTTGTCATGTTTGTGCCCAATCACATTTGTGGCTTCAACAAGGAGCCCTAATGTTTTTCCTTTTTCGTCCGGTCGAGGCAACCACGCCATTTTTATTGCAAGAGTTGAATTCATGAAAAGCAAAAGACCGGCATTAGGCATTAAGCGACTGTACTAATTAAAACTAGATCTACTCTGGAGACATTATCCTGACCTGTCTCTAACAAAATCAACCGCAATTATTTCTGAGTTCAAGAAAAAAAATTCTGAGTATAAGCAGTCTCTTGTTAATTGCAGAAATTGAAGATCTAAAGATTAGAAAATTAGAAAACTCCTCTTATCGATCAATCCACTATCGCTATATTATAAGTGAAGTACGTTTAACAAAATAATATTTAATAATATTTTTGTTTAGTATACAATGTGTACATCTTAACCAATCGTTTCCTAGCTGTAGGGCGGCTCAATCTTCAATTTCCAATGAAAAACAAGAAGCAATTGAGTTTCTTTGTTTCTTTTTGTAGGAGAGGAAGCAACCCTTTTTTGTGCACTTTATGTTGAGGAGGGTAAAAAGCTATACGACGAAGAAACGATTGACAAGATTTTGGAGCCAACGCGAGAACTTTTGAGACAAAAATTGGCACAAATTCCAAACAACATAAAGCTAGTGATAGAATATTCCAGGGACTTTAGACTTTGGCAAGATGGAAAAATTCCCCAAGAAACTCTTAAATTAAACCTTTATAGAGAGAGAAAGTTGTCCCTGGCAACAGTGTTGGAGCTACTGACCAAGCGTAGGAAGACATTAGACCTCATCTCAGTGTTCAGGGAAGTCAAAAGGACTTTGCATATTAAGATGGCTCCTCAACGTATAGCTGTTTTGCCTAATTGGTGGGATACCATTAACATTGTATGTGGCGTATATGAAAATGTGTCTTTTCTTCCAAGACTTCAGGAGACGGACCAGTAAAAGCGTACGCACGGGTATGAAATATCGCCAACAGCGTGGGTCATGTAGAAGCTGCTCGGAAGAGAAGTCACCAATGGTACCTAGGCCTGACCCCAAACAATACTAAAACAATTGAAAGAATGACATGTCATTGTTTCCTGCGACCAATTACGAGAGACATTCTGAGCAGCTCCGACTCTGGCCAACAGCTTTGACGGTCCCTTTCTTGCATCTTCGTTACCCAACTCTCCGCTATCAAGCGGGTAGGGAGGGGGAGGGAGCTTCCACAAAGCTCAAGTATGTAGGGTGGAGTGTCGGCTAAGGCTAGCCGCTGGTGCTGCAGTATGTCGACGGTCTGATTTCCAAAAAAATTTTAAGGACCAGTGTTGAAAATTAGCAAAAGAAACGCGCACACCTCTCCCTATTTTGCAGCAAACTAGTAAACAGCGTGGCTAGTCGAACACCATTTCCTTTTATGATTTCTCTCTGCAGAATCAAGTTCAGTTTTATTTGCCACGCGTGCAAACAATTAGCTCAATCGGTAGTTCACATGGGTTACAACCGATCCGAGAGCAAACTAAAGATTTAAACGTACACTATCTGTATAGTATTAGCAATTCCCCTTTTTTTATGCCTGACTGCAGATGGTAAAGCTTAAAGGGATTCCTCCATCAATTTCCGCTGTTAAAATGAACTTATACTAGTTAGCAATGAATTCTACTTTTTTTCCTTTTTCAAGAAGAAAGAACATTTATGATGTACGAAAGTAGGATAAATATTTGTTATTTTAGCTTTTACATTATTTTACCTGCGTGCTGTCATTATCAATAATTATGATGTTCTTTTTATGACAACAGCCGAAAAAAGACACATTTAATCAATAGGTTTTTTTTTCTAATATACAGATTTAGCCAGGGCTAAAAGTGAAGCTCTCGATAATATTTATAGTTTGTTCAAACAAAATATAAAATCGTGCAATGCTAAGTGGCGAAGGCATGCAACGCCGGAAAACGGTGAAAAATAACAATAGGTCTCTGATTAGCAAAAGCAACTTTGCTCGTGCAGCACACTTTTTCTGAACATTTCTTTGCCGTTGTTTTGCACGACTACAACGCGAACCTTCCAGAAACTTCTTAGTTACACGTTTTATGAAGGAAATGTCCTACGTGTTCCCCTTCACTTTTTTTCACAGCCGCTCATTTTCACCTTGCAATGGTGGCCGCTAGCATTTCTCATTTTGTCACCGCTACAAACTTTTCATGTTGTTCTTCCAACAAAAAAAATGTCTCCTTCGGTTTTTTATCTCTCGCTCTAAATCCCTGTCACCCTTTTTCTCGTTGAGCTTCGCTGGCCCGCCGCCCACTTTCTCTTTTTCTCTGTCTTTCTCTTGCTCTATATTCCAAATTTGTGGGGCATGACAATATATCTAAGCTTAATACTTTAGACAACACTGATGCAGAAACAATTTTCGCTTTCCGTTTTCGTCTTTATTGACTCTATTGTTGTCTCTGCTTTACAAGACACCGGTGGCTATGCGATTTCCCGCCAAAATAACCTCGAGTTGCATTTGGGTTGCCATACCTGTTGATTAAGTTATTTTACATTGGTATGCCTGTGGTGCGGACGGACGGTCTCTCGGGCGGAGTACGGTCACGTGATTACCAAATTTTCTCGGATGGGTAGATTACTTCATTTTCTTACCCATGGTGCTCCGCTGGCGCGCTTCGCGCGCGAGAACTCCGCTATAATAGCACGCTACACTAGCCAGGGGCATAAAATAGGTGTATTTTATTGGAAATTAGTTATTTCAGCTGTTATTAACCCCCTTTGCCTTAATTATATCATTCTGTGGAATTCAACAGAACGTATTTGTTACTGAAAACGAGGTAACTATCATGACTGACCAAATGGGACCATTTTAGGATATAGTGAATTACGGTTATAATATCATAGGTGACGAATTACTCCTTAATTTTGGCGCGAAATTTCAGCATTAATTTGTAATTTCACATGTGAAATTACAAAATTGCCATGGCAACCTTCCGTACGTTTCAGTGTCAAGATGGCGACGAAGTTTTAAAATGTCATGAATCAAGATGTCAGGGCACAAAAAGACGCTTTAGAAAACCTGAACACACGAAAGAGCACATCAAGAAGGATTCTAACAGGTATTTTGTCGAAAAACTCTGAACTTAAGCCAAATTTAAGCGCTAAAGGTTCGAGAGAGTGCAGGAGTTCTCGATCGATACGATCCAGGATAAACCGTGTCAAAAATCCAAGATTGCTAACGTAATTCGTCACCCATGATATTAATAGGTAATCAAATGGTATACTCGTGAAATTAGGGAATAATTTCACTTGGGTTTTGTCCAAATCCTTATAATTTCCCGAGCCTTTGCAAATTATTCCCTAATTTCACTCGTCACCATTTGATTACACATACTAAACACCCGCTAATAAGAAACTGTGGATTAAGATAAGAACCTCCTTGCAGAAATTTGCCAGTTTAATACCCCAAAATACTAGAAACGTTTTAGCCAAGCAAGATCAAGCTGGTTCTTATATGTGGTTAATGATAAATAATATAACCAAGGAGTGTAACTTTGGGTTGTGAATTTAAATATAACAGGAACATACTGTACCGACCAACCTGTAATCAGTTTTGTTAGGGTAATAGATTTGTGAATAAAAAAATCAACAATCTATTATGAATCCCTTTCATAAAAACTAAGAACCTAATTAGCCTAAATTGCCAATAAGCTGACCCCAAAATATAAGAACCTATTTGCCAGACTTAAAAAAGTAGGTTCTTGTTAGCTTGTGTTTACTGTAATGTAGTCAGTCTTTCGGAACTGATACTGACAATAAGACTTCACAGTAAAATAAATGTAACTTGTTGCTAAAGTCGTCGAAAGTGGCGGGAGATTTTAAGCCAATCAAAATGTGAAGAGCTTTTAAAACAATGCAAAACTACAACAATCTGAAAATTATAGGACATAAGAAAGGATGAGTGCTGTAAAAGTTAATGTTGTCGTTGTTGATGGTGAAGTTGACGAGACATGCCCTTAACCTGTACCTTTGATGTTTCTGACGATATATTTCCCTCGGAGAAATATTAGATTTTTTCATAGCTACATTAATATTTGAATTGAAATAACGGTTATGTATTTTTGTGATTTGCAACGACTACCTTCGAGTTTTGTCAGTTTTTTTGACGACTGACTAGATCCCGCGGCACACTCTGTACTGTCCCCTGGAGAAAGCACTCCTCGCAGGGTAGGCACAACGTAAAGTAGTCGCATTTGGTTGAGACATTGGTACGTTTTAAGCTCTTTGATTTCACTGAAGCGGCGCAAAAGGAACCAGGGAAGCGAACTGGTCGTTCAATTCAACTTTTATTTAACGCTTGAATTATAGAGTCTCCTCACGCACTCTGTTTGAAAGACCTAAGTGAACATGGTGAAGAAGTAACCCAATAATTGACGTCCAGTTTTCAACATGACCCAGTTGCTCTGGAGAGATTTTACCAGTCCTTTGGGCTTATAATCAATCCCGAGAAATTGTGCGCGAAAGGGCTTTAGAACATTGCAGAACTCTTCCCTGGTACTCCAATTAAGACTTTCGAGGACATTTTCGAGGCATTAAATTGTTTGCGCTAGTTGACTTGTTGAAAAATGTAACAAAAGTTTATGACCTTGTCCTGCTCTTTCCATGAAAGAAATAGAAATATAACCAAGGGCCAGTTACCGTGTGCAATAGAGTTAGGATTTGAAGAACCGGGCGGCGCATCACAGCTAAGAATTTCCAGGAGTATCCGACCCCCCTCATCCAGGTGATACTACCTTAACTACCCATTTAAAGGAAAACATAAGACCTCGCACACTCCACATTCGTTCGCAATCCAAGCTCTGCCAAATGTATTTTCATGCTCAGTCTTTGCGAAAGAGAAAGTTTTGGGTTGCCGGCATCCACCCCAAGCGGCAGCTATTCTAGACCTCGAGCTTGTACTGACTTTTTTTCATGTTTGATACGGTTTGTTCAGGATTCTTGTTATGCTTGTTATGCTTGTTATGCTTGTTATATTTCAGGACGCTTGTTATGTTGGTGAAACCAGCCGACACTTCTCCACACGAGTGCGCGAAGCACTTACTTTCAGACAGGTCTTCGAACGTTTTTAAACATCTGCAGGGTTCAGAGTTTTGTAGAGCATCCTGCACACCGGATTGCTTCGAGGTCCTAGACTCTGCAGCCACTAAGTTGGTTCACTTCGAATTCCTTAGGTACAAATATTTTACCCTCTTCGGGCTAGAGTTGGTCGTCCACTTTGTGTAATTGGACTGAGAGAGGGACATAAGAACTAAGCGTCACTCATTTAATTTTGTTTTAGTAAGCAATATTAGTGAGTTTACGCAACAGGACGGCAGGAAGAAGAGGACTGCAAAATGCTCGTGTGTGACAAACGTGACAGGCCTGTTACGTATATGTTTTGTGGTGATCTTCACTTAAGTTAATGTTTTCTGGTCTTTTACAAAAAGACCTTTTTAAAGGAGGGTGAACTACGGCGGAAAAGTTGTTCAAACAAAATTATTGTCACGCTCGTCACACAAAGTTTGCCGTCTTCTTTCCTCTCCCGTCCTGTTGCGTAAGTTCACTATTGACAACGCAATGTAACGAACTTTGTAAGATCGCGCGCGCTTTAAATTCAACGACGATTTCAAAATATGTAACACTGAAGATGACGGATGTACCGTCGAAACATGTCTGGAAAATTAAAGAAAGTTGTTATGTTTATACGACTATCTATATTGTTGCTGCTATCTAGACCTTTTGATTCCAGAATTAAAAATAAAAAGGATTTAGAAACAGATCGAAGCTACGTTTTCTTAGTGTTCTGGGTCCAGTCTTGGAGCAGGCTACAATCTGTACAGTGTATCATTATCTCTATCATAAGAAAACCTGTCAAAGCAACAATACTTGTCAGATTAAGAATCACGTTTAAGACGAATGGCGGACTTAAGATT